TTTCTCCCTTCTTCTCCTCTCCTTTTCTCCCTTCTTCTCCTCTCCTTTTCTCCCTTCTTCTCCTCTCCTTTTCTCCCTTCTTCTCCTCTCCTTTTCTCCCTTCTTCTCCTTTTCTCCCTTCTTCTCCTCTCCTTTTCTCCCTTCTTCTCCTCTCCTTTTCTCCCTTCTTCTCCTCTCCTCTTCTCCCTTCTTCTCCTCTCCTTTTCTCCCTTCTTCTCCTCTCCTTTTCTCCCTTCTTCTCCTCTCCTTTTCTCCCTTCTTCTCCTCTCCTCTTCTCCCTTCTACTCCGAATACCTTCCTGGTGCGATGTCCCAACGACCCAGGCTACTGCATCAGCCCTCAGGACGTGTGCGACAGCATCCCCCAGTGCTCCGACGGGTCAGACGAGTTTGACTGCTTCGCCCACACGTGCCAGCCCGGCCAGATCCACTGCCCTATCACCAGCTATTGTGCAACGGGCCGCCTGTGCGACGGAACGCCGGAGTGCTTTGGAGAGATGGGAGAGGAGGATGAGAATCCAGATTTTTGCCTGGGGTATGCGTGTCCGGCTGGGTGGAAAAAGTGTGCGGATGGGTTACAGTGTGTGGAAGCTAGTCGGTGGTGCGATGACGCTGTGAATTGCTTGGATGGGAGCGATGAAGGTGCGGTTTGTGTTGTGCCTCCTCCTCCGCCTCCGCCTGCTTCTGGAGGATCAGGGACCAGCTCAGGTGGTTCTTCAGGTGGTTCAGGTGTTTCCTACAGCAGCATCACTCCAGTTGTTTTAAGCAAGGAGGAGATTGCGAAGCTGAAGAAGCTGGCTCAGGAGAAAAAGGCGGCAGCCGTGGCTGCCAAGAAGCAGAAGATGGAAGCAAAGCGGGCAGCGGTAGAGGAGAAGACGAAGAAGCGGGCGGCGAAAAACGCTGCGATTGAGGCGAAGATCCGAGCGAAGGAGGGGAAAGAGGCGGCGAAGAAAGAGAAGAATGCTGCTGTTGCTGCGAAGAAGGCTGCTATTGAAGATAAGAAGAGGCAGCAGGCTTAGAAGGAAGCTGTGATCGCTGAGAAGAAGAGGAAGCAGGAGGAGAAGGCTGCTGCAATTGAGGCGAAGAAAAAGAAGGAAGCCGAGAAGAAGGCGGCTATTGAGGCTAAGAAGAAGCAGCAGGCAGAGAAGGAGGCGGCGATTGCTGAGAAGAAGAGGAAGCAGGAGGAGAAGGCTGCTGCGATTGAAGCGAAGAAGAAGAAGCAGGCTGAGAAGGCGGCAGCGATTGCAGCCAAGAACAAGGCCACCACCAAGTAAGCATCCGATATACTGCTGTGTGTGTTGTGTTGTACCTTAGTGGGTTTGTGTTGTTTATTAATGCTCATTTTTGCCGCACTTTCGCAATAATGCTGCTTATCTATGTGAATAAGGGTACATTTTAGCGCGACACGGTTTTGGGCCGTCTCCACAGGTACCATCAACACCATTGCAGTTGTGAAACCACGTATAGATTCCCTTGGCAATATGGTTAAAAAATGCTGGCAAAGCAATATGCAACCTCTATGTAAGGTGCTTACAATATCTAAAACCAAGCCAAGTTGAAAATTTATGTAAGATTAGCATCTGAGGCAGATAAGGAAGTATCTCATAGCATGGAGGACAATGTATGGCGTTGGGTTATCTAGTACAAATTATGTAATGTATGGTCGTGATCATACAACTGCTCTTTCTGTTATCCGTTCATACCTGCATTACAGCGTGTGCCAGTATCGCAGATCAACAGTTGGTGTCAGAAACTACAGGCAGGAATGAATGAACTACGATGAAGATGGGTACAAATAGAAACCCTAACATTGGGCTGTACCCCATATGGGTTACCCCACTACAATCTACAGACTACACTATAGGCAAAGTGGGGGAGAACAAGGGGTCACAACCAGTCAAGAAAAGCAAAGCAAGCTCACGGTGGATCACAACGTCACCACACATACTGAGCACAAGCAAAGGGCCACAAGGCCAGTCCACATGCAGAGGTATATATGCAACAGGAACAGCACAGTAGTCACTACTTAGCAAGAGCAAGCATGCAGGTATATGTATATAGATCACAGTACAAGCAAAGCCTACAGCAAGTGTGGAAACGTAGGTACAAGGCCTAACAAAGTACAAAAGCGCTGATGATCACCAAACGGAAGTGCCTTGGTGAATATATCAGCAGTGTTGGCCCGAGTGGCCACGTGAGCAAGACGAAGCTGACCTCGCTACTGCAATTCTCGAGCCAGGAGGTAACGCAGAGCCATATGTTTTGTTCTGTGCTCCAGTCTGTGCTCCTCATACAAGGCAATGGCGACCTTGTTGTCAACGTCCAGAACTGGAGAAGAACGAGGCCGCTCTCACAAGTTAGTCATCAGGTAGATGAGCCAGCGTAACTCCTGTGCAGCCATGGCTGTGGCGTAGATTTCAGCCTCACAACTAGAGATGAGAAGAGAATACGAGCGTGTAGACTGCCAAGAAACAAAGCCAGAGCTAAGGCTGAAGGTGTAACCCTGTGACGACTGCTGCGTAGCCTGGTCGTCAACCCAAGACGCGTCAGAGTGTCCAGTGAGGACAACGTCACCCCGTCCTCCAAGTACGAGCCCCATGCCCGATGTACTGCACAGGTAGCGCAGTACCCTCTTAGCAGCATCCATGTGCACCTTTCGGTGCCTACCAGGAGCCACGTAGCGAGCCAAAAGGCCAAGAGGGTACGCAAGGTCAGGTCGAGTGCAGGTCATCAGGTACATGAGGCAGCCCACTAGCTCTGGGTAAGGACCACTCGGCTCTACGGACTCGTCCGAAGGTGGAGCTGAGAGCGAGTGACCTATAGCCAGAGGGGTGGACAGTGGGGAGGACCAGGTGAAGCCGAAGCGCTGAAGGACCTGCTGCACCATGTGTGACTGAGTTAGTGTGATGGTGCGGCGTGCTCTGTCACGGGTGATCTGCAAGCCAAGGTAGCTGCGCAGCTCACCCAGGTCAGTGCACGTGTGTCTCTTCTGCAGCTCCGACTTCACTAGGGCGAGAGCCTCAGTGTTAGCAGTGGCAAAGACCAAGTCGTCGACGTACACGGGGATGTAGAACGGCAGCAGCGAAGTGTCGGTGCGCAGAAACAATGACGGATCAGCAGTCGAAGGAGCAAACCCAAGAGCCGCAAGTGTCGTCCTCAATGTGTCGTGCCACTCACGAGGCGCCTGGTGGAGACCGTAGACTGGCCGCCGGAGGCTCCACTGGGTACCAGGAGGGAACGACCCAGTGAAGCCAGGTGGGCGGCGCAGCCAGATCTCCTCGTGCAAGCTGCCCTGTAAGAAGGCTGTGCTGAAGTCAAGAGAGTGAAGCTTGTAGTCACGCTGAGCGGCAACGTGCAGCAGCATCCGAAGAGTGGTCATCTTCGGGGTGGGGAAGAAGGTCTGGAAGAAGTCAACTCCCTCTCGCTGACTGAAGCCTCGAGCAAGAGCGAGCCTTGAAGACAGGCGGAGAACCCGGCGGCCGCTTCACCCTGAAAATCCACATGCCATCGACGATGTTTGCCCCGGGAGGGGGAACCTCATCGACGTAAGTGCCTGTGGACTTCCAGGATGCCATCTCTGCGTCCATGGCTGCCTGCCATTGAGAGGAGTACTCACCCGCGATCGCCTCAGCGTAAGAGCGCGGGGTCGGGATGTCTGGTGCATCCGGGTCTCCCTCAGGGGCAAGCAGCATGGCCACGAGATGAGGCGCAGCGACTGCAAGACACTCAAAGTCCTCGTGCCTGTCCTCAAGGACGTTCGTGCCAAGAGCACACTCACCCCCGACGGACGGAGGACACACAGACTCAGACTCAGCAACAAGGCTAGCAGCGTAGTCTAGACGACAGGCAACAGCAAAGTCAACAAGCTCAGCGACTAAGGCTGACGCAGCAGTAGACTCAAACAACGGGTTAGTGACAACAGTGCCTAGTAGATGCATGACAATAGGGTGCGCAACATGAAACCGGTTAGACTCAGGGTCCGGAACGTCAGGCAAAGAAGACGCAGGAGGAGACGGCAGAGGAACACGCTGTGGAACAGAGGAAGGACGAAGTGCCATAATGTGAGTGCAAGGGACAGGAGGAGGACGCTCACGACTAACACGACCAGTGCGACCAGTGCGAACAGGCGAGGCAGGACGGGATGCAGGCCCGCGACGCTCAGTAAGACCTCTTGTTTGCTCAGTGTAAGGAGAGGGAGCAGTTAGGGGGGAGACAGGCTGTAACGGTAGGCCAGTGGAAGACGGCAGGCTAAGAACCTGGCGAAGCACTGTGTCTTGAGGCGGCAGAGACGACGGTGACGGCGGAGAGAAGAACAGTCGCTGCGCAGCAGTGCCACCAGCACCAGTAGCTCCAGTGCCTCCAGCAGCTCCAGAACCTCCAGCAGCTCCAGACCCTCCAGCGCCAGCTCCTCGAGCGCCAGCACCACCAGCAGCCGCAGAACCTCCAGCGCCAGCACCGCCAGTACCAGCGTCACGGGCAGCAGCACCCCCAAAACCGGCAACTCCAGTCCCAGTGCCTCCAGCAGCAGCACCCCCAGAACCGGTACCTCCAGTCCCAGGGTCTCCAGCAGTAGCACCCCCAGACGCAGCACCTCCAGCCCCAGCAGCTCCAGTACCTCCAGTACGAGCACCTCCGGGTCTAGCGGCTCCAGCACCTCCAGCAGACAAAGTACCCGCAGTACTCCCAGCTCCAGTGTCAGCAGCTCCAACAGCACCTCCTGCGGCAAGGTCAACAGTACCACCAGCTCCAGCGTCCTCAGGCCCAGCGGCTCCAGCGTCGTCGGCACCTCTCGCACCAGCCCCAGTACCCTCTGAACCGGCACCCTCAGCTCCAGAGACGTCAACAGAAGTGCCTCCAGCGGCAGAGCCCCGAGCTCCAGCAGCGCGACCCTGACGGCGAGCGTACCACTCGTGCAGCTGCTGTGGGGAGAGAGGCGCACGCGGACGAAGGCGGCCACTCCAAGGAGACCGCACACAAGTAGTCTTAGTACCGTCAGGCGCCGCACCCCCAGACTCAGCACCCCCAGGCTCCTCACGCTCAGGCTCAGCACCCCCAGACTCAGCACCCCCAGATGCAACACCCCCACGCGTAGTACCTCCAGTCTCCTCACGCTCAGGCTCAGCACCTCCAGGCTCAGCACCCCCAGAGACAGCACCCCGAGCAGGACCACCCCCAGCAGGACCTGAGTCACCAGTGACCTCAACAGGCTCAGGCACAGGAGGGTCTACCTGAGAAACACCTGAAGGAGCAGGACCTGGCGCGGGGAGGGGGTCTACCTGGGGAGGACCTGGAGCGAGAAAGAGCGGAGGGGGGGGGGCGAGCGGCAGTGCGGTAGGGAAAGAGACGGTAAAAGGGGACCGACTCGTCGACGGTGACGTCATGAGATGGAAAGACACGGCGCGAAGCGGGGTCGTAAAACTGCCAGCCAGGCGCGTCAGGAGGAAAACCAAGGAAGACGTAGAGAATGACGCGAGCGGAGAGCTTGTCCGCGGTGGTATCGCGGACAAAGGCACGAGCACCCCAGACCCGGAAGCGCGACGCATCGCCAACCTCCCTCGTCCACAGCAATGCGGGCGAGGTCTCCGGCAAGGAGACACGGGGCCAAAGGTTGAGCTGATGCGTGGCGTACCGGACCGCAAACGACCACAGAAAATGGGGGGCAGCCGCATGGATCATGGAGGTACGAGCGACCTCCATGACTAAGCCAATGCGGCGCTCAGCAACCCCATTCTGCTGCGGAGAGGCCGAAAGCGTGAACGACTGGCGGATGCCGTGCTCCTCACAGAAGGCTCGCAAGAGGTCGGAGGTGAACTCACCACCTCTGTCAGAGTGCAGACGCAAGACAGGAAAGTCCGACTGAAACCGCTCGCGGAGCTGGAGACGAACAGCGTGGATCCAAGGGATCAAAACAGCAGGGACGTCCCCCTTGCGCTGCAAGGGGAAGACCGTGGTGTAACGCGTGTAGTCGTCGACGACCAGCAGGAAGTACCGCTCGCGGCCCTGCCCCTGGACGCGGGCTGGGCCCCACACGTCCAGGTGGAGAGTCTGCAGTGGAGCCTCTGTGGGAGGGAACGAGGAGGAGTGAGGAGCGGCGCGCTGCCGCCCCTCGACGCAAGGAATGCAGGGCGGCGCAGGCGAGGGAGGGAGGGTGGGCAGAGACCTGGGAAGACTATAGACCAGAAGGCGAGAGTGCATGCCACGAAGGCGAGGCAGGGAGGGGTGACCAAGGCGGTGGTGCCAAAGGAGAGTCTGGTGCGACAGGCGACGACACTCA